GATTAAAACTGCTGATCTAAACCATGATTAAAATTGCTCATTTAAATTGCCTTGATTTAAATCTGTTCACCCCGGTTTTCACAAAACCCCACTTCCCATTTTTTGACTAGCTCTAGCCAAAGTTTTTTCTAAACGTACCAGATGCAGTTCAAGGTTGTGTTACAAAACATGCTGCCTCATTGTTTATAAACAAGGGATAAAATGCTAATCCTAGTGAGTCAATGGGAGTTTGGCCACTGACTTCACTGTGCTCAAGATGTCACTCAAGGTGGGGGCTGGGTTTCCCTGTTCTGGCTCCCATACTGGTTAAAAGCCGGTTGTTGGTTTGTGGATATGAATCCTTTCTGGTATTTCTATTTAATTTAAAGTATTTAGCTAGGATTTTTAGTTTTCGTTCAGTAGTTTTATGAAAAATCTGGTTTGCATGTTTCTACGTGTCAAAGGAAAGCAGTAGGCTGCTAATATAAAAAGGTAAAAATGGAATAAGACAGAAATATGTTTGTTTGTTAGTATCCCACGGCCTTAAAATGTGGTTTCTGAATATTATTTAACAATTACACACAAAATGAGGATATCTACCAGGCTGTGTGACATAACGGAAAAAAAACTCAAAGGGACTATCTTTGAAAAGGTCACAGAAGCTTAAAAATGCCAAAGAAGTGCCTGGGAAACTTTAATGGCCTCTGATGGTGAACAGGTGCTGCTCTATAGTTTGTACCAGTACCGACTACAAAAGGAAAATAAACTATTCCCTTGTTTATACATCCCAGGATCGCATTAGCCCTTTGGCTACAGCATCGCTCTGGGAGCTCATGTTCAGCTAATTAGTCACCACAACCCCCAAATCTTTTTCAGAGTCACTGCTTCCCAGGATAGATTCCCCCATCCTGTCAGTATAGCGTACTTCTTTCTTCCTAGATGTATATATTTACATTTAGTTATATTAAAATGTGTATTGTTTGCTTGCGCCCAGCTTGCCAAGCAATCCAGATTGCTCTATATGAGTGACTTGTCCTCTTCATTATTTACCGCTCTTCCAATTTGTGAGGCACAGTCCAGTGCCTTAACCATAAGGCCATCCCTTCCCCCTATCCCACCTCATGAAGCACCAACTTTTCTAGGTCCAAAGCATTGTGAGGAAGACTGAACCCCATTGGTAGAGAAGGCCATACCCCAGTTCCTCAGGCTGAGGACTAGCAAAGAGTTGAGCTCCAGCCCAGATAGCTAGCACAGTGAGGAGAAGCTGCGCCACCGTTTCCTGTTCCCACCATTATTTGTTACACCAGCATGTTGAGTCTTGTCTTAGCTTAGATTGTAAACTGCTCTGGCAGGAATGGTCTCTTATTAGGAGCGAGAACAGCTCCCAGCACAATGGGTCCTATATTGGGGCCTCCAGGCCCTATCGCAATGCATATAACAACTACTAACAATAGGTTGGGGTGTAAGGAAGAGCGTGCCAGCCTAAGTAGTCAGTACAGCGAATAAAAGCCACCCCTGGGTGGGCAAAACAGTGGGATTTGGATGGAAAGATACAGGTGATGGTTTGGCTGCACATTTTGTGCTTTAAAACAAACGACAACAAAACACCTTTATAACCTAACTGGGAAGCATGGTGACCTATCAGCAGCAAAACCAGGAGACAGAGGCCACTGGGATGTCAGATGCACTGACAAGACAAGTGGTGTCTTCTATTCCCCTTGCCAGCTCTGTTCCTGTGAGCTGGCAGGAGGCAGAGATTCACAACAAAGCAGAAAATGCACCAGTATCAACCCCCTTAGCAGATCTCACTGCAACATGGATAGGGCCCTATCAAACTCACAGTCCATTTTGGTCAATTTCACGGTTATAGGATTTTTTAAATGGTAAATTTCATGATTTCAACTATTTAAATCTGAAATTTCAGAATTTATAATTGTAGGGGTCCTGACCCAAAAAGGAGTTGTTGTGCGGGGGGGAGTGTCGTAAGGTTATTGTGGGGGCGGGGTTCATAGAATCATAGAATATCAGGGTTGGAAGGGACCTCAAGAGGTCATCTAGTCCAATCCCCTGCTCAAAGCAGGACTAATCCCCAACTAAATCATCCCAGCCAGGGCTTTGTCAAGCCTGACCTTAAAAACCTCTAAGGATGGAGATTCTACCACCACCCTAGGTAACCCATTCCAGTGCTTCACCACCCTCCTAGTGAAAAAGTTTTTCCTAATATCCAACCTAAACCTCCTCCACTGCAACTTGAGACCATTACTCCTTGTTCTGTCATCTGGTACCACTGAGAACAGTCTAGATCCATCCTCTTTGGAACCCCCTTTCAGGTAGTTGAAAGCAGCTATCAAATCCTCCCTCATTCTTCTCTTCTGCAGACTAAACAATCCCAGTTTCCTCAGCCTCTCCTCATAAGTCATGTGTTCCAGCCCTCTAATCATTTTTGTTGCACTCCGCTGGACTCTTTCCAATTTTTCCACATCCTTCTTGTAGTGTGGGGCCCAAAACTGGACACAGTACTCCCGATGTGGCCTCACCAATGTCGAATAGAGGGGAATGATCACCTCCCTCGATCTGCTGGCAATGCCCCTACTTATACAGCCCCAAATGCCGTTAGCCTTCTTGGCAACAAGGGCACACTGTTGACTCATATCCAGATTCTCCTCCACTGTAACCCCTAGGTCCTTTTCTGCAGAACTGCTGCCTAGCCATTTGGTCCCTAGTCTGTAGCAGTGCATGGGATTCTTCCGTCCTAAGTGCAGGACTCTGCACTTGTCCTTGTTGAACCTCATCAGATTGCTTTTGGCTCAATCCTCTAATTTGTCTAGGTCCCTCTGTGTCCTATCCCTACCCTCCAGCGTATCTACCACTCCTCCCAGTTTAGTGTTGCAGTATTGCTACTCTTACTTCTGCGCTGCTGCTGGCGGCGGCGCTGCCTTCAGAGCTGAGCAGCTGGAGGGTGGTGGATGCTTGCCAGGAGCCCAGCTCTGAAGGCAGAGCTGCTGCCAGCAGCAGCGCATAAGTAAGGGTAGCATGGTATGGTATACCATGACCCCCTAAAATAACCTTGTGACCCCCCTGCAACTACCTTTTGGGTCAGGACCCCCAATTTGAGAAACGCTGATCTCCCCCCATGAAATCTGTATAGTAAAGGGTAAAAGCACACAGGACCAGATGTCACAGGGGGAGATCAAATCTCTCGGCATTTTTCATGGCTGTGAATTTGGTAGGGCCCTAAACAGGGACATCCATCTTGTCTGAGTTTATTTGCCACCCAGCCTAGCCGCTGGGATTTTCAGATTGTTACATAATTTGCAAAGGCAAATTACACTCTCTCCCCACCTCCCACCCCCAATAATAGGAGGTGCTACCAGCTCAATCTGTAATAAAACAGCAGCCACTTTACAATTAAAAATGCCATTTTAATGAGTAAAACATTGTTTTGGTTTGTCAGCCATGAGTGTCCATCTAGACATTTCCTTCCTCCCTTCACTCTCAACCTAGTGTAGTAACACAAACAAAGAAGACCATTAAAAAGTAATAATAGCTGCTATTATTACTCGCTGTTATTAGTAGCTAATAATAGCCATACATAGCTGTTACAGTCATTGTCCCTTTTAAAAGCACAACCAGGAGCTCAGTATTATTCCAGGGAATTCATCCTTCAGGAGAAGATTAATTTTAAAAGGCAATGCCTCTATATGATCCTTTATCGCCTCAAAGCACTTTACTAACTAAACCCTGTTACATCTCTGTGAAGGAGGTATTGTCACCCCCATTTTACCAATAGGAAAGAAGGCAAAGAAAAGTTTAAGTAATTGTAGCAAGTCTTACTAGATTGATATACCATATACCGCACATTTAATGCTTCTAAAGGCTAAGTTTAAGTTTAATTAAAAATGGATTACTTTAAGCAGCTTTGTTTAAAACTTTTACATTGGCGCGGAGGGGTAAAGCCTCTGTGGTACATGTACTGTATTTCTGATTTGGAATGAAAAAAGCCTGATTGCATGCAGTTTTCATGTTTCTGATATAATTAGTAGTACAGTACCCAACATAGTAACTACCTGAACCAAGTATGTAAAAAGACCAGTTGGCAGAAGTAACCTAATCTTATGTCATGTTTGTTTCTCATATTATAGATGTTTTCCATAAAACAACTAGAGAAGTAAATGCCTTCAGGTTTACTTGGTCTGTCCCCGATTGTCATTTCATTCTACTTTGACGGTAATTGTTTAAGTCACTCTAAAACTAAACTATAAACATACACAAGTTTAAAAGATAAATCATTAAAAATATCCTGTCAGTTAAAACACCCAACTATGAGTCAAGTTACACTGTTATAGTTTATGTGCACTTTAGTACTATGCTGTATCATCTGTATTTTTAGTAAGAATCACAAACGCATTTTACAAGTTCACGTTTTTCAAAATGAAATAGCACTTCCTCCTAATAAGACTTACTGTTCAAATCTATGACATAGTTACAGACAAGCCTGAGTGAGAAGGCAGTTGTGGCAATTGTGCTACCATAAACTTTTGCCGGTTTCACTGGTATAGTTATAGGTAAGTAACTTATCTATAATTACGAACATTTTCACTGTTCAGGCAATTTCTCTCATTCCACAGGATAACCAAACCACAAACTGATGCCTAACTTCTGAAATAAACGCAGCTTAAAAAGAAGGAAGGCTAACACATTATATGTATATGTTGTAATTACTAGGGATTCCCACTTCATATTATTCTAGGTAGAGCTGGCAATCACGCCTACTAGTTAAAGCTGCCTAATATTTTAAAACTTTGCATTTATAGATGATCTTTCAGAGAATTTCAAAATACTTTGCACTTGTAAAGCAATTTTTTAATGCGAGAAAATCCAAGGATTTTACAGACATTAGTTCTACATCAGCACTCCTGGGATCATAATGAACTTTGAATATAAAGGGGTAACATATCAATTTACAATCTATATCCAGTACACTTTGTTTTAGGCTCCAGTACATTTAATTGCAAACTTACATGCATGCTGTTGACTTCTGATGCTCCCACATGGTAACTCTGTGAAACTTTCTCTTCTTTCTGAGAGCAGTCGCCTGCTTTTCCAGGAGAGCCTGACTTGGAGGGTTCACTGACAATCAGTAGTGCAGGCACAGCATTAGATGATTGCCGCTTATGAAAAGTCACCAGGGTTACATTTTTGTTGTTTAAAGTAGCCAGGGTGGACTGGTCCCTTTTCAAATCACCGTCTGATTCCCTCTCCATTATCTTTCCAGGCTTCAAATATTGTAATGCCACATGGGAATTTTTAAGAGATGTTATTCCATAAACTAGCAGAAAAACTTCTCCCAGCAATATCCAGAACAAAAGTTCTGTTCCTCTACATCAATGTTCTCCTCTTTATGTGTTCATGGTGAACTCCTAATTCTAATCTGCCCCCTTTATATATAAGTACCATGCTGCACTCAACTGTATACTCTTGCACCCGATTTAAACACTCCCCACCAATTGGCATCCCTTTGCACTCACCAAACTGCATGCAGCACTACTAATCTTTGCACACGGCACTTCTGCTTGCTCAGCCAAGGCTGCCTTTCACAAGCTCCTCAAACATGACCTGTGTGCAACAACCCAGTGCATAATTAACTCAAACAGCCAAGCAGTAGCTCCTCTGTGGCTGTGTGCATAATCACATCTCCTGGACACACAGCCTGTTGGCAGTACCACATAATCCACTTCCCTTTATTATGAAATGAACGGCAATTTCTTAATGAAATACTGTCCCCTCTATATTTCAGACCATGCCTCAGATTACATTGACAGATACAACAAGGAGTCTGGTGGCACCTTAAAGACTAACAGATTTATTTGGGCATAAGCTTTCGTGAGTAAATCCGATGCATCCGAAGAAGTGAGGTTTTTACTCACGAAAGCTTATGCCCAAATAAATCTGTTAGTCTTTAAGGTGCCACCAGACTCCTTGTTGTTTTTGTAGATACAGACTAACACGGCTACCCCCTGATAATTGACAGATAGTTATTTCCCAGCCTGTCAGACTTGCATTTATATGAAAAGTTATTCAACTACTGCAAACATACAGTCATAGGTGCTGGAACTAGGGGTGCTGTCGCACCTCCAGGCTTGAAGTGGTTTTCATCTTATACGGGGTTTACAGTTTGGTTCAATGGCTCTCAGTACCCCCACTGTACAAATTGTTCCAGCGCCCCTGCATAAAGCATTGCTGTCAGCTGCACTAACTAAAAATCTCTTCTTGTCTATTAAAAATACAAGGTTGGTGAGGTAATCTCTTTTATTGACCTAAATTATTTTGGTGAGAGAGACAAGCTTTTGAGCTTACACAGAGCTCTTCTTCGGGTCTGGGAAATGCACTCAGCATGTCACAGCTAAATACAAGGTGAAACAAGTAATTTAGAAATATGTGTTAATTCTATGCAAAGGACCATTCAAGGTAAAGCAGACAGTTAACACCTCTCCAGTCACAGGGGGAAAGGCAGAAACAAAATCTGGGTGTGTGTGTGTTATTTAATGGGTTATAGTGTGTTGTAATAAGCCATAAATGCAGTCTCTCTAGTCAGCCCATGATTTTTAGTGTCTTGCAAAGTTATGAATTTAAGTTCCCAGGCATAGGCGCCAGGGCTGGAGCACCCACGGAAAAAAATTAGTGGGTGCTTAGCACCCATTGGCAGCCAGTTTCCCCCTCCTACCCCGTGCCTCTCGTCCACTGGCAGCCCTGCCGATCAACTCCTCCCCCTCTATCCCAGCACCTCCGGCTCGCCGTGATCAGCTGTTCTGTGGCGTGCAAGAGGTGCTGGGGGGGAGGGGGAGGAGCGGGGATGGGGCGTGCTTGGGGGAGGGGGTGGAACTGGGTGGGAAGAGGCGAGGTGGGGTTGGAGTGGGGGCTTGGAAGAAGGGGTGAGGTGGGGTGGTGCTTGGATGGAGCGGGGGGAGGGAAGAGGCAGGGCGGGGTGGGGGCTTGGCGGAAGAGGGCGGGTGGGGATGGTGCCTGGGGCGGATTGGGATATTACAGTGCAAATATTTGTAATACAAATAATAATATAAAGTGAGCACTGTACACTTTGTATTCTGTGTTGTAATAGAAATCAATATATTTGAAAATGTAGAAAAAAAATCCAAAAATATTTAATAAATTTCAATTGGTATTCTATTGTTTAGCAGTGCGATTAATTGCAATTAATTTTTTTAATCACGATTAATGTTTTGAGTTAATCGCATGAGTTAACTGCGGTTAATTGACAGCCCTAATTATTTGTAATACTTATTATAAATAAAGATAACCTAATATAATACATAATATTTACAATTAATATTTTAATACATTATGTATTGTATTCGGTTACTTTTATATGTAATATTTTTGTACTTTTTATTATTACTTATATGTAATATACATTTCTACTTTTATATGTACCATATCTTTTAAATATAAAAGTCAAAGTGACATGTTTTACCTTGTGTGCTGGGGCGTCTGCCCCACCCCCATGTTATAGGGGGCTGCAGCAGGCCAGTGGGCCTGCACAGATGAGCAGCCAATCAGAGAAGGGCTTAGTGGGAGCCAATCGGGGCCCAGATTGGAGACAGCCAATCAGGGCCCGGCTCAGCCCTATAAAAAAGCTGCTCAGGAAGGGAGCAGGGAGTCTGTCCCAGGCCTTTGAGAGGGGAAGGTCTGCCTCCAGGGGGGAGACTAGCACTTGGGACAGTGCAGTGCTGGGCAGGCCCGGGGGAGCAGAAGGGAACTTCAGCCCAGTATCTCCTATGCTGTAGGCCCTGAGGGGAAGGGCCTAGCCGGTGCGAGGGGCCGAAGGGGAAGCGGCCCAGGGACGTGGACAGAGAGAGGGGAGAGAAGGAGGACAGCGAGGCTGCCGCCAGAGGGTCTCTGGGCTGGGATCTAGAATAGAGGGCGGACCTGGGTCCCTCCTTCCCCCCCTTGCAATACACCCAGCCATCGGCCTTAGGGAACGGCCATTATAGACTACACCAGATCCCTGACAAGAGGGATTAGACTTGGGGGTGTGTGGTTGGACATGGTGGTTGGGGCATAGAGAGACTGCTGATCAGCTCCCCCCCAGAAGGGGGTGTGGATGGACTAAGAGGCACTGCCAGAGGGCAGTGGTTTGGAAGAGGACGCCGCGAGTTGGAAGCAATGCGGGTCCCCATGCCAACCAAGGGCAAGACGACTGACGGGACACCACCAGGCGGGGGCACTCCACTGGACTGAGCTAATTCCCAGAGACAACCAGCAGGAGGCACCAGGTGGTGAGTCCCAACCCCGTCACACCTTATCACAACAAAAAATGATTTAATGATCCTGAATTGAAATTTTTCAGAGATTTTGTTTTGCATCAAATTTCAGCTTTTTGTTCAGATTCAAATTTTTTCAAAAATTGAAAAGTTGGTATTTCCTGCAGGACAGAAATTCTGGTTTCTGACAAGTTCCAGTTAAGATAAATTCGGACTCTCAGACTATGGCCAGGTCTACACTACAGACTTGTATCAGTATAACTACATCGCTAAGGGGTGTGAAAAATCCATCCCTCTGAGCAACGTAGTTATAATAACCTAGCCTCTCCCCTTCCCCCCCCACCCGAGTAGACAACGCTATGTCAGCAGGAGAGCTTCTCCTTTTGACAAAGCTATCACCTCTCGCGGAAGTGGATTAACTACACTGATGGCAGAAGCTCCCCAACCAGCGTAGGAACACCTTCACTTAAGCTACAGCAGTGCAGCTGTACTGATGCAGCATTTTAAGTGTAGATCTGCCCTAAGGGTACGTCTACACTACCCGCCGGATTGGCGGGTAGCGATCTATCTATCGGGGATCGATTTATCATGTGTAGTGTAGACGCGATAAATCGATCCCCAATCGCTCTCCCGTCGACTGCTGAACTGCAGCTTGGCGAGAGGCGGAAGCAAAGTTAATGGGGGAGCTGCGGCGCGCCATGAGGATGCAAAATAAGTAATTTTAATTCGTTCTAAGATACGTCGACTTCAGCTACGCTATTCTCGTAGCTGAAGTTGCGTATCTTAGATCGATTTCCCCCCCCCCCCCAGGGTAGACCAGGCCTAACTTTGATAACGTGTCTTCATCTTCCCTGACTGGGGGAGGGGGATATTGAATATTAATTTGGATGTGGACTGAAGTAGCCATATTTATTATAGGGTTTTGTGCTTGCACAAAAACCGTTGTTTTAGTATTTGCAAGGTATGGATCTTCATTTTAAAGGGGCCTTTTGGATGCAAATAGTTCTCTGTGGATGGGAGAAGCACATTCAGGTGATCAGTGATAGTAAATTGAAGTTAAAGATCTCATTTAGGCTTCACAGAGCTAGTCTTTGGTGCAAAGATGTAAAAGGATGCATTGCTCCAGGACTGTTTTTGCACATTATGGGTTTGATTAGAAATAATAAGGATCCACTTTGGTTTGGTGGTATGTAATTTGATACTTTCTGCAGAAATGCAGGATTTCAATAGCAGAGTATTATGAGGATAAGGAACACATGCCAGAAAATTAAAAGGACACCCTAGAGTTTGCTTTATTAAGGCATCAGGAATTGCTAAACATTATTATTTATTTAGACTGTGTTAGCATCCATAATGTGCTAAGTGCTTTCTAAAGCCAAATGAAGACACCCATTGCTTGCAGATTATGTTCCCAAGATGAAGTCGCCTGCATTTTTTAAAAAATGGTTGCTGCCCATTTCTAATCTCTCTAGGTTCTTCTCAAAAGGAAAGCATCATAAAATTTCCAAAACAATTGCACTGCAACATGAGAAGCCTGGGTTCAAGAAAAACCTAGGGGGTTAGATTTCCTTAAGCTGACAGACAAAAGGAACAAGCTCAGATGCATGCATGTCAGGTGGAACAAAAGAGGGAAGTCGAGAAATTTTACTACTCAAAGTACAAATAATCTACCATTTGACAAAGTCAGAATGGCCTTGATTGCCAAGCGAGCCATTTGCCCATTCTTCTGATTTAGTTACATCATTGAGAACAAATGCAGTATTGTCATCCCTAAGTGTTCAAAAATCACAAGGCAGCCCCCCAAAATCATGATGTTGGGTTAAAAAGCAAAAGATCTGAATATATATTATAAGATTTTTTTAAATTTTTCTTTGCATTTTTGAGCCCTGAGGTCCACTCAGCTGGTGTTTTCAAGATTTTCTTTGCAGCTACAAGGGCTAGAATCATACTTCTATTAAAATGAGCTGAGATCTCACATATTCACGTGACTCCAGGAGATGGAGCTTTAAGAAAAAAACCCCACAAAATATCATGAAACGCAGTAAAATCATGAGACTTGACAACTTTGCAGTTGGTTTTCAAAATATTGCTTGGACTGGGAGA